GATAGTTTCGTGGGTGAATTGATAAAATAGTTTCGTGGGTACAACTGGTAGACAAATAGAAAGGTATGTAGGTGAATAGATGGGTACGTATGTGAGTTAATGGACAGAGTGATAAGTTCGTGGGTGAACCTGATAGACGAATAGATAGGTAGGTAGGTGAATTAATAGAATGGTAGGTAAATACGTGAATGAACTAACAGACAAATAGATTGCTACTTTGATGGACTGATAGATAGAGAGATAGATGTGTGGATGAAGCAATTGCCTAATAAAAAGATACTTGAATTGATAGACAGATAGATAAATGGATGAATTAACAGACAAATCGACAGATGAATGGGCAGAGAGATAGTCAGGTAGATGAATAAGAAAAGGAAGGATGAATGGATGAGTAAATATAACAAAACAAAGAAATAAACGACATAAAATCTCTGTCTGTCTCGTCTCTGTCTGTCTCTCTCTCTCTCTCTCTCTCTCTCTCTCTCTCTCTCTCTCTCTCTCTCTCTCTCTCTCTCTCTCTCTCTCTCTCTCTCTCTTCTCTCTCTCTCTCTCTCTCTTCTCTCTCTCTCTCTCCTTTCTCTCCTCTCCTTCTCTCTCCTCTCTCTCTCTCTCTCTCTCTCTCTCTCTCTCTCTCTCTCTCTCTCTCTCTCTCTCTCTCTCTCTCTCTCTCTCTCTCTCTCTCTCTCCCTCCCCTCCCTCCTCCTTCATCAGCCACAGACTTATCACTGTCTGTTATTATTCAAGCAAATAATCAGTCTTGACACAAGCACACAGCTTAACAGGACAATGCAGTGTAATGTGATATTCTACCGCATGGATGTGTTGTAACAAGATGTCTATACATTATACTCGGTAAGCTATAGCGATGAACCTCATTCGTAGCGACAAATATAGAGAAAGTATGAACGAGAGTGAACGTTTTCACAATACATCTCCTGTATTGTGAAGATATTCATTCTTATTTATACTTGTTCAAATATTATCGAGTCACAAACGGAGGTGAATTTACCACGTCTCGCTATCATGCTATTTTCGCCTTTATTGCAGGTCATACGGGGATACGTCATTCAGCTACAGTATTTGTTTTCGGAAATAAGTTTTCTTCGTTTGGAGAAAATTATGAATGAGAGCAAATGCACGTGTTTCAGGAGTAATTGAAACAGGACAAATACATGTCATTCACTGTGATGTTTAGTTTCATTCACGATGTTTTTGG